TATGCAACCATACAACCATACAAACATATATATAAATATATATATATATATATACACTGTAATATATGCAACCATACAACCATACAAACATATATATAAATATATATATATATATATACACTGTAATATATGCAACCATACAAACACAGAAAGTAAAATAAGTAAAAAAAGCAAAAGTTTCTACCAGATTTTTCTGCACCCCTTGCATAACCTCGAAAATAAACACTTCACAACTATCAATTTTTAATGGCTTTGGTGGGAAGAAACTTTTCAAAGTTGACAACTGCAGTCCCGTCTAGTCCACACGTCGTACAGGTCCAGGTAGAGTAGACGAATCTAGTCTAATTCGCTTAGTAACTCACCAAACTATGAATCATAGTAACCGACAAAACAAACTCGTGGGTGAGTTCATTACAGAAGAGCGGGGGACTGTGGAATGTAAAACCACGAAGGACGTGGGAGTAGGAATTTTCAAACAACGAATGAATGTGTTATAGGTAGATGTTTTTAGTTACTGGTGTAAGTATTGCAGCTATAAGACATCGAATGAAATTTCTTTAAATCGAAACAACTTGTAACTACTATTTAAAATGCCATTCGTACAGATAAGATAACTTTATGTTTTGAAATATGAACACGTAGACGTATATATGTGTAAAACGGATTTCTTGTTTGTTTTGAATTTCTGCGCAAAGCTACACGAGGGCTATCTGCGCTAGCCGTCCCTAATTTAGCAGTGTAAGACTAGAGGGAAGGCAGCTAGTTTCAGCCGTGGGGGTGTTATAATGTGACGGTCAATCCCACTATTCGATGGTAAAAGAGTAGCCCAAGAGTTGGCGGTGGGTGGTGATGAGGACGAGCATGTTTGGTGGGACGGGGATTCGAACCCGCGACCCTCAGATTGCGAGTCGAGTACCCTCACCACTTGGCCATGCCGAGCCACGGATTTCTTGAACGTTTAACACTATTGAATTCAAACATCCTGTTTCAATAAGATGAACCAATTTTCAAATTCCTCTTGATGTTGGATTCTAGATAAACCTAAATAATCTAGCTTAAAATGGAGTGATAGAGCATATGTGATCGTGAATAACTTCTTAGTTTAAGTAATCTAACGTCACAATTAAAATATTCCGAAACAAAACACACTAATTAAAATAAATCCTTAATTAATACTAATTAACTATTTGGTGTAAATTAGTTGTTATAACATTACTTGGAAGACGATTCATCATAATTAAAAACAACGAATAATGATATTGAAATTTATAAATTTAATATTGTATCGAATCATCAGTTGGGTATCCTTGCACCTATCGACATTATCGGCCGTAATTCAAAAAAATATTTTAAATCTCAGGCAAGCTGCGGAGATTTAGTTTAGGCCTAAGTAGGATGACTAGAACTTCGAATTATAAAACTGGGCCATTCGTGCTTTCAGGCCTTAAATCTTACCCTCCACCCCCACAATCGTTTGGAAAAATTTTAAATAATTAAAAGTATGCAAATAATAAGTATCATTATATAAAAATGATATTTTTACGTACATTATTGCTGATACAGATAACTCTTTCTAGGGCAACTATTTTTATTCGGAATGTCCGCCTTTTAATTATCTTAAATAAATACTTCACGACTGGAAAATCAATTGTCAGCTTTGAAAAGCACCTGAAATTTGCACATGTTTTTGTGGGTATAAAATCAAATACTTAGTAATGTATGTAATAGTGGCATACGTCATCTGCTACAGCTTTCCTTATAACCAATTTTAGAGAAAGCAGCAAAGGTATGCTGAGTCATTCCGAGCTGTGTGATAATTTCTCTTCTCATTAATAATGATAATTCTGTTGGTTTACGTTTAATACTGGTTCAACGTACTGAAAACAAGTATAAAATCAGCTACAAGCTAATGACAAATACAAAAAATCAAGACATTTAGGCGTTCCAAAATGATTTGTCGGGATAGCGGAACATGTGGTCGCCCTAAGCCTAAGTCAATACATTAAGCCAGCCGTGAAAACTGGTCTTTATAAAAGCGAATATAAGTTATCAACTTATCTAACATATTAAAATATAATAATTGATAATGTTTTGGCTAATAGCATTTAACCAAACAGACCACGATAAGAAACTAAATAAGCAGCCATTTAGAAGAAACGTCACAAGAAGTTCGACGTCTTGAAGCATCAAAAAATTCTGTTGTTGTCTTTATTGACACATGTGTAGATAATATTACAGACAAAACTATATTAATGATTAACTTAATCTTTTTGTTATTGGTTTTCGGAAATTAGATAAATAAACTTTCCCAAAAGTTCCGCTAGAGGTCGGAAGCTTGATGGCTGCACGTCTTCTCTGTGTAGTTATAGATAGTAAAGTGAAATTGGTCTATTCGTGAAAACGGATGTTATGAGTTATGAACAGCAATCATAGCCACAGGTTAATAGAAAAAAACTTACTGGCCCTTTGGGAGGCCTCATGCTATAGTTTGGTTAGATTGTTTATTAATCCGGCTCTTTGGGGCCTCAAGTTATATCTTGGGTAGATTGTTCATTAATCCGACCTTTTTGGGGGCCTCAAGCTATACCTTGGATATATTGTCCATTAATCCGACCCTTGGGGGAGGGGGAGCGCAAACTATACCTTAGGTACAGTGCTCATTAATCAGGCCCTTTGGGGGGGCCTCAAGCTCTACTTTGAGTAGATTGCTCGTTAATCCGGCTCTGCTGTCATTCATTTAATAAAACTTTTTTTTCCAATGCTGAAATACAGTTAGTACTTCTGGTTGGTTTCGTCACTTTAACTAATATAAAACTACCCACGTGCCCTGCTCGAAGGAGCCATAGCATCACCAAGACACGTGACACGTTTTGCAATATATAAACCAATGCATAAACCTGGCGCCTTTCTTATCGGATTGGAAGGCATATATTTAAACACATCCTAAATTGGCCCTAATCACTACTGATTCATAAGGAAACGTGATGTACATGTTTGGATAAAACCTCAAGTATTTTTTTTTTTAACCAGGCACTTGACAACAGAAGCTCACAGTAAATTAAAGCAAAGAAAGAAAGAAAAAAAACACTTAATAATTCTCTTTGAACACTTACCAACAACCACAACAAAAAAACAGGATCCTTTCCGTGCCAGATGTACACTTTGAATCCGTTTTTTTTTTATTTTCCTCCAACAAACTTAATGGAAGTTGCAAAGTGGTTTACTGCTTAGAATTTATTCGCGCATGTGGATTTCTAGTTTGTTTTTTTATTGTATTTTAATAAAATTTTATTCGTGCACGTGGATTTCTAGTTTGTTTTTTATTGTATTTTAATAAAATTTTATTCGCGCACGTGGATTTCTAGTTTGTTTTTTATTGTATTTTAATAAAATTTTATTCGCGCACGTGGATTTCTAGTTTGTTTTTATTGTATTTTAATAACATTTTATTCGCGCACGTGGATTTCTAGTTTGTTTTTTATTGTATTTTAATAGAATTTTATTCGCGCACGTGGATTTCCAGTTTGTTTTTATTGTGTTTTAATAAAATTTTATTCGCGCATGTGGTTCGAATCCCCGTCCCACCAAAGATGCTCGCCCTTTCAGCCGTGAAGGCGTTATAAAGTGACGGTCAATCTCACTATTCGTTGGTAAAATAATAGCCCAAGAGTTGGCGGTGGGTGGTGATGACTAGCTGCCTCCCCTCTAATCTTACACTGCTAAACTAGGGACGGCTAGCGCAGATAGCCCTCGTGTAGCTTTGCGCGAAATTCAAAACAAACAAACAATCGCGCACGTGGATCTCTAGTTTCTGTCTCCTACCCGTAACCACCGCCTGCACAACATACCACGTAGTTACTGTGTGTTTTTCATGCATAACCTTTGGGCAGACAAGCATCTTTAGCTCTTGTTGCACCATGCAGTCCTGTACGTTTGTATGGGCGTGAGAATGTTCACGTAACCACCGCCTGCACAACATACCACGTAGTTACTGTGTGTTTTTCATGCATAACCTTTGGACAGACAAACATCTTTAGCTCTTGTTGCACCATGCAGTCCAGTACGTTTGTATGGGCGTGAGAATGTTCACGTAACCACCGCCTGCACAACATACCACGTAGTTACTGTGTGTTTTTCATGCATAACCTTTGGGCAGACAAGCATCTTTAGCTCTTGTTGCACCATGCAGTCCAGTACGTTTGTATGGGCGTGAGAATGTTCACGTAACCACCGCCTGCACAA